TTTTTGAGACCACTTCAGAAGGTCACATGTTGACGGATCAGACCCTCAGGAGAGGAACGGTTGTGCCGGGAACGGGGAATCTGGTCCTCAGCTCTGGGATGAAGTGAGCTGAGGAGATCAGGATGAGATCAGGATGAGGCTGACATGACCACATCTGGTTGACTTGGGCCTGAAAGACAACCCCTTCTCCTCCATCACCAGCAACGGGTCAGCGGGGTAAGGGCTGAGGAAGGGAACTCCTGGCGTTGGTACACCCGGGTATTCGCCCCGCATTGGGCCCCGGCTTGTAGAAACCAGCGCAGTTGCCTGTGCTGTTGCCAAGGGGTTGCCATGGTTTTCGTGTCTGGGGTTGCCATGGAAAAACGAGGAGGCTGGAAGTGGGGAGGCTGCTGCCAAGGCCACCAGCATCTCACCCCAGCACCCAGGGGCTGCCGCAGGGGCCTTGTGGGGATGGAAGCACCAGGGCCACCAGGAGAGCTGCCAAGGTGGCCTTTCCTACGGACACCCACAAAGGGACCGGGGCCAGCACAGCAGGAACCCCGTCTGGAGGAGGGGACCCTTGCGGGGTGACACCTGCTGCTCCGTGCACAGCACATGCTCCTCAGGGCATGGACACCACGGAAAATGCCCATGGGGATGTCCCTGCTGGGTGGCCCAGGGCACGGGCTGGGCAAAGACCTCAGCCTTGGCCTGAGGGCACCGGGTCCCAGCTCCTGCCAGGGGAGCACCCGGCGTCCCCAGACTGCTGTGTTTTGGGCACGGCCGCCCAAGGAGCTGGCAACGACCATCCCTGGTTTCCCTATTGCTTCAGGACCTTCTCGCAGGACAAGCCATGAGCGGGGGCACTGGCAAAGGCAGGATCCGAGCACCCCGGTGGCGCGAGCGGAGGAGAGCAGCAGCCCAGCAGGGATGGAGAGGTTTAGGGATTGATCTTTAATGGGTGGAAGCTTCTGGAAGGTCCATAAAAGACACGGATAGAAGCGGGGGGCAGACACCACCCTGCTGAGGGGCCGGTGGCGTTGCCACCATGGGCTCTTCCCTAAAGCTGCTCTTCCAAGCTAGCCAGAACCGGGAAGA